GTGTGTGTAATGTCAGTGTGTGTTTGGTGGTGTGTGTGAGTGTGAGTGTGAATGTGAGTGTGAGTGTGTGTTTGTTTGTCTGTTTTTGTGGTGTGTGTGTCAGTTGAGTGAATGAGTGAGTGAGTTGGTCAGTCAGCCAGTCAATCCATTAATTAATCAATCACCCCCTCTCTTCCCTCACCCCATTTCCCACCCCCCCCCCCACCCTTCCTCCCTTCCTTTTTCCCTCACCTTGTTCTGAGCCTCGTGAAGCCCCCCGTTTCCCTGCCCCCCCCCCCCTTCCTCCCTTCCCTTTCCCTCACTGTGAAGCCTCACACTTCTGACGGGAGTTGCTCGCGGAGATGTCCTCGATGTTGACCTCCGTCGTGTGGCCCGACGACGCTCAGCTCCTCGACCTCCCAGCGGTAGAGGAGGGCGGGGGGTTGCCCTCGGCGGCGCTGGGGAATTTCACCTGGGGGAGGGAGGAGCAGAGGTGGGTGGGGGAGGGGGGAGGGGAGGCAGAGGTGAGTGGGGGAAGGGGGAGGGGGATAGAAAGAGGGGGAGGGAGGGAGGGGGGCAGTGAGTGGGAGGGAGAGGTGGGTGGGGTGAGGGGGAAGTGAGGGAGGGAGGGGGTGTGAGTGGGAGGGAGAGGGGTGGGATGGAGAGAGAGACAGGGAGAGTGAGTGGGAGAAAGAAAAAGGGAGAAGGGGAGATATGATGAGAGACGGGAGAGAGACGACAAAACAGACACAAACGATGACAAGAAAAAGAATGGGAAAAAATCCGATATATGTTATATAGCATAGCAACATTTCTTCACTTTTATTACCAATCCTGTACCAATCCATTCCAATCCGGAACCATATATATATATATATATATATATATATATATATATATACATATATATATATATATATTATATATATATTATATATATATATGAAAATGAAATGAAGCTTATTTTCAATTCTCATTGTGGCTAGTTTCCTTTTCATTTTTTGTGTACACGTTATTGTGTTACATAATATATATATATATATATATATATATATATATATATATATATATATATATATATATATATATATACGCACTGATCCCATGAACGCACACCAATCCATACTAACCCACTCCCACCCAAACCAATCCTCCGACTCTACACAAAATCCTCTCACCCATACCATCGTCGTCAGGGTGCGGGGAATTGGTTCCTCGAGCGCTGGGTGTGACACCTGACACGTGAAGTTGGCCTCGTAGTGTTTCTCCTCCGGTGTCAGCTCGAGGTGGCTCCTGACACCGACCAGGATGTTGTCTGCCTGCGCTGCTTCGTCGTGTTGATGCTGTTTCGGGGGAAGTCGTCTTGCCACTTGATCTGGGGACGAGGACGAGGTGTGTGACTTCGAGACAGTAAGGAGAAACGTTTTAGCCATATTTGCCAGGAAGAAACGTTCGCTATATTTAGATTCGCTAAGACTAAACGTTAGCGATTTGTCGAATCGATAAGACGAAACGTTTACGATGTTTAGATTCGATCCCCTAAGATGAAACATTAACCATATTCTGATCACAAAACGCACAATCATGTTAACGAAATAGCTCAGAAATACCTCTCTACACCTATATATTATATATATATATATATATTTGTCACTTATTTTTGCTAAATCATAATGCAAATGTTTAGTAAGTAAAACTACATTCAAAACAAACCTCAGCTAGCGTGTGCTCAGACCGGCTTCGCATTTGATTCGAAACAGGAAGCCAGCTGTCGCGTACATCGGAGACGGTTTATCCAAGTACACCTGGAATGTTCAGATACATTAGCAACATCTCTGCAACGGCATGGCAACAGCATCGACAGGTATGCCACATGCCGTTCTCTGCAATTTGGCCGAGTGAACAGGGGTTTAGGAGAGAAATATCTTCGTATCTCGCGTGCCATTCTCTGCAATTTGGCCTTTGCGCTGCACCGTGGATGAGATCAGGCATCGCTATGTATGATTTTAAAGTAGATTTGGCTGATATTCATTGAGACAAAAATGTTATCGGGGATATGAGTGCTGGCAACTACACGGGGAGGAGGAGGACGGGGAGGGAAGAGGATGGGGGAGAGGAGGAGGGGGAGGAAAAGGATGGAAGAGAGGGAGAGGAAAGAGGAGAGGGAAGGAATGAGGAAGAGGCAAGGTGGGGAGGAAAGAGGGAAAGAGGGTAGGGGGAGAACGAAATAAAGAAATAGAGGAGAAAGGAAGAAAAAAATAGTGAACGAAAGAACGCATTCAAAAGAAGGAAAAAAATAAAATAAAAACTAACGAAAGGAGAGAATAGAGGAGGAAGAAGAAAAAAAGTGAATGAAGGAACGCATTCAACGGAAAAAAAGAAAAAAACGTAAGGAAGATTGACAAAAAAAAAAAAAAAAATTACCCTACCTTATCATCTACGTCCTTAGGGGAAATGCAACGTTAATTTGGCGTAAAGTTATAGATTTTTTTTCTTTTATTGTCGGCTAAAAGTACCCGGCGATCGAAAGCCAACACGGTGAATTTTTGCAGGGATGCAGCTACTTTTAACCCTGATATATATATATTATATATAATATATTATATATATATATATTATTATATGTATGTGTGTGTGTGTGTGTGTGTGTGTGTGTGTGTGTGTGTGTGTGTGTGTGTGTATGTATACATTATGCGTATGTGTGTGTGTTGTGTGTGCACATACACACACACACACACACCCACACACACACACACACATATATATATATATATATATATATATATATATATTATATATAAATATATATATGCATGGGTGTGGTGTTTTGTATTGCGTATGTGTATGTGTATATGTATGTATGTATGTTCATATGTTAATATGTAATGTCGTGTGGGTGTGTGTGTGTGTGTGTGTTGTGTGTGTGTGTGTGTGTGTGTGTGTGTGTGTGTGTGTGTGTGTGTGTGTTGTGTGTGTGTGTGTGGTG